CAGGAGGGGGTGGAGAGGTGGTCCATGATGGGTCCCTACACAGCTGGGCGGGACCAAGAGGAACAGCTAAGAACTTGCAGTATCTGCCTTGTAACCTTGGGGTTTCATCTGGATTAAGGAGGAGTCCAGGGAGTGGAGAGGTGAGCGTCCTGGGAGCAGCATTCGCCCCAACAGTGACCTCTGGGCAGGTAGTTCCGGGACCTCCCTCCGGAGGTCATGCGGGGAGACCAATGGTCCATGGAGAGACCTTAACCGATAAGCTCAGCTGACGGAAGGGCTTCCCGTTGAAGAGAAGGAAGGTGCTGGGTTGCTTCCGACTTGGATCTGGAGGTTCCTGCCTCGTTGATAATTCCTACCTCATTCGTTTTGTTTTTTTTTAACTTATAATTTCTATTTTAAAAATTCTAACCATGTGTCCAACATTTTTCAAGAATTGTGGCGATAGAAACACATCACCTCCTTCCACTCGTCTAACCGGGCGGAGCAGAGTCCTCTCCTCCGAGCCTCTGCCCTGGTGAGTGGCGTTCCCCACACCTGTGCCCGTGTCCCCTGGTGAGTGGGAGCTCCCACACCTGTGCCCGTGTCCCTTCGTGAGTGGCAGCTCCCACACCTGTGCCCGTGTCCCCTCGTGAGTGGCGTCCCCCACACCTGTGCCCGTGTCCCCTCGTGAGTGGCGTCCCCCACACCTGTGCCCGTGTCCCCTCGTGAGTGGCGTCCCCCACACCTGTGCCCGTGTCCCCTCGTGAGTGGCGTCCCCCACACCTGTGCCCGTGTCCCCTCGTGAGTGGCGTCCCCCACACCTGTGCCCGTGTCCCCTCGTGAGTGGCGTCCCCCACACCTGTGCCCGTGTCCCCTCGTGAGTGGCGTCCCCCACACCTGTGCCCGTGTCCCCTCGTGAGTGGGAGCTCCCACACCTGTGCCCGTGTCCCCTCGTGAGTGGGAGCTCCCACACCTGTGCCCGTGTCCCCTCGTGAGTGGGAGCTCCCACACCTGTGCCCGTGTCCCCTCGTGAGTGGGAGCTCCCACACCTGTGCCCGTGTCCCCTCGTGAGTGGGAGCTCCCACACCTGTGCCCGTGTCCCCTCGTGAGTGGGAGCTCCCACACCTGTGCCCGTGTCCCCTCGTGAGTGGGAGCTCCCACACCTGTGCCCGTGTCCCCTCGTGAGTGGGAGCTCCCACACCTGTGCCCGTGTCCCCTCGTGAGTGGGAGCTCCCACACCTGTGCCCGTGTCCCCTCGTGAGTGGGAGCTCCCACACCTGTGCCCGTGTCCCCTCGTGAGTGGGAGCTCCCACACCTGTGCCCGTGTCCCCTCGTGAGTGGGAGCTCCCACACCTGTGCCCGTGTCCCCTCGTGAGTGGCAGCTCCCACACCGGTGCTCAGGGTGTGCACAGTCCCAACCCGAACATCTTACGCAGCTTTCCACCATAGACACGTTTCTCATTAGTAGAAAGACTCCATAACCATCATCTCTACGTAAAGAGCCGGGGGCTGTCACATCTGAAACAACCCGACGGACGACTGAACAGGCTGCATGGGGCGACCAGGCTGGCAGGGGGGTTAGTGAGGGACAACCAAATGACTGAGCAGCAGGCTGCAAAGATGGTGGCGCCCACAGCCAATAAGGAGAGAATATGCTAATTGACTGCCACACCCTAAACGAGTTCTAAGGGGAGGGGAGGTTTCAGTTGTTAAAAACAGGGCAGTTTCCATAGAGACACATCACCTGGGCCTGGGATGGACCCGCCATCCAGGTAAGCGCCCTGGACGGGATTGGGACTGAGACCTTCGGTGCTCCGGCCGACACCCAGTCACCGAGCCACCCCAGCCAGGGCTCCTTGCCTCCTTTTTTTATAAATGCCTCTATCTCACCAGTCTCCTCATTAAACTTGTGTCTTTTAAAATGAATGTAAGAATTAGATATATTAGGGATATTAGCTCTCTGTCGCCGATGTTACAGCTCTTCTCTCTGTAGACTTATCTTAGTTAGGTTTTGATTGATGGAAGTTTTAAAGGTTTACGTATTAAATTGGTGATTATTTGCTCAATCGCCTTTTGCTTTTCTATTGTGTGTAGGAAGGATTTTCAAAACGCTGACAACCTGTGCCTGTGTCCCCTCGTGAGTGGGAGCTCCCACACCTGTGCCCGTGTCCCCTCGTGAGTGGGAGCTCCCACACCTGTGCTCAGGGTGTGCACAGTCCCAACCCGAACGTCTTACGCAGCTTTCCACCGTAGACACGTTTCTCATTAGTAGAAAGACTCCATAACCATCATGTCTACGTAAAGAGCCGGGGGCTGTCACATCTGAAACAACCCGACGGACGACTGAACAGGCTCGTGTCCCCTCGTGAGTGGGAGCTCCCACACCTGTGCCCGTGTCCCCTCGTGAGTGGCAGCTCCCACACCGGTGCTCAGGGTGTGCACAGTCCCAACCCGAACATCTTACGCAGCTTTCCACCATAGACACGTTTCTCATTAGTAGAAAGACTCCATAACCATCATCTCTACGTAAAGAGCCGGGGGCTGTCACATCTGAAACAACCCGACGGACGACTGAACAGGCTGCATGGGGCGACCAGGCTGGCAGGGGGGTTAGTGAGGGACAACCAAATGACTGAGCAGCAGGCTGCAAAGATGGTGGCGCCCACAGCCAATAAGGAGAGAATATGCTAATTGACTGCCACACCCTGTGTGGGGGCAGTTTTCGGAGGAGGGTATTTCTGGCTTGTTGTTTGCTCCTCTGCAGCGACCCAGCCGCAGGCGCATCGCGTGGGAGGCAGATAACCACACGCCACAGCCGGGAGCTGGCTCGCCCCGGTGTCGGGCAGGTCTCTGCAGAGGGGGCTGCAGCTAAAGCAGACCAGAGACCGGGTCGCTCCCGGGAGGGCGCTGTTAGAGGCAGCTTCGCCTCTGGCTCTCCTCTCCTGGCAGGAGAGCCGCCTGGCAGGGCGGGCGTGGGCACTGGCCCTGGCAGGCTGAGCTGCGGGGAGGGTCCACCAGGCGGCTGGTCCCTGTGCGGGAGGGATGTGGACCCAGCCCGGCGACCAGCCTTAGATCATTTCCAGCTCTGATGCCTCAGCCAAGAGGCCCCAGGGAATCCAGTGTAACCACGGCCTCAGGCCTTTCCCTTTACATCCTCTGCGTGGTGTGGAGCATCCAACACCCAGGACTCTGGAAACCGTTCATGACAAACAACGTCATCGACGGCACCAGACAGGACCCTGCACAGCAGGTGGCCCCGGAAAAGCTCCCAAGGGCGGCTCAGTGGTTGAGCGTTGACCTAGGAACCAGGAGGTCAGGGTTTGATCCCGGGTCAGGGCACAGGCCCTGGTTGCAGGCTCGATTCCCAGTGTGGGGTGTGCAGGAGGCAGCCAATCAGTGATTCTCTCTCATCATGATGTTTCTATCTCTCCCTCTCCCTTCCTCTCTGAAATCAGGAAAAAGACCAGGCTGGCAGAGGGGGGCTATTGGGGGCGACCAGGCCGGCAGGGGGGCCAGTAAAGGGTGACCATGCTGGTGGGGGTACAGTTAGGGTGAGCAGGCCGGCGGTGGGCGGGGAGTTAGGGGCGATCAGGTCGGCAGGCAGAGGTGGTTAGGAGTGATTAAGCTGGCAGGGGGGCCAGTTAGGGGCGATCAGGCAGGCAGGTGAACAGTTAGGAGCCAGCGGTCCTGGATCATGAAAGGGATGTCTGACTGCTGGTGTAGGCCTGGATTGGGCCTCAACTGGCAGTTGGACATCTCTCGAGGGGTCCCGGATTGGAAAGGGTGCAGGCTGAGCTGAGGGGACCCCCCACCCCAGTGCATGAATTTCGTGCACTGGACCTCTAGTTTTAAATAAAAAAATAGTATTTCTTTGAAAAATGCACCATCACTTATGTAACTACTTTCCTGTTCTTTAGACCCTGGCTCCCGTGGGTGGGTGGGGACCAGCTGGCGAACCCTGTGATCCAGGCCACGTCTGGGGTGCTGGTCCCTCCCTGCCCTGCAGGCTGCATCTCTGTGGGGGGCTCTGACTCACAGCTCCTTTTCCTTTGCAGGGTGGCCCCTCGGGAGCATACAAGTGAGCAGCCGTTTCATTCACCGCCAGACTGCAGCGGGCACCATAGCGTGAGCCCGAGACCACGTGTCCTCGTCCTGAGAGCGCCGCGTGTGGCCCTGAGGTGCTGTTAGGGTGCAGACGGGCCCCTAGAAGCAGAAGGGCAGGCGGGGATGCATTCCCCCCCCCCACTCCCCGCAGGACTCAGAACACACCGAGAGTCTCTTCGTTCTAGCAACGGCTTTCCTGGGTTTGTTCGAAGACCTAAGTGAGGCGAGGCGGGCTTGCGCAGTGGCAGTGGTTTAGGCTGAAACCGAAAGCTGAGGCTCAGCTCACGCCACTGGGTTGCAAGTGTAGCGTGTGCGCTCCGTGACACGGCGATCCAAAACTGAAATCCCGAGATGACTCCTGTTCCCTGCTTCCCACCTTCCGAGCCACTGGCGGCTGCTGGGGCAGCACCTGCTTCTGCTCCTTAGAAACTGAGATGAGAACGGGGACGTTTGCCAATGGCCCCCGGCAGGAGGTGCTAACTGGATGCAGGTGGTCCGAGGCCGCTGGGACCAGCAGGCGCTGCCCGAGGTGTTTTCCTAAATAAAGTTTCATTGGAACACGCCTCGCCCAGGGATGAGCCCTGTTTCTGAGCTGTGTTTCTCGGTTGTAGAGCTGATGACCGCAGGCGCTGGCCCGCGGACCTGAGGGACGCGATGAGCGTCTCCCTCCTCCAGAAGGAGCTGCAGGCCCTGCACCCGCTGCTCACCCGCCTGAGGCTCAGAAAGAGCCGCCCACCGGCTCCCCTCCCGCACTTCCCTGCGCCGTGAGCGTGAGGACCCCGTGGGGGAGCCACGGGCACCTGGCACTGGGTGCAGACGCAGGAGCCATCGCTGCTGCCCTTCTACCCGAGATGCCAGGGTGAGACCCAGGCCGCGGCTGCAGTGCCCAGGGGGTGTGGGCAGCGCAGTGAGGACCCCGCCCGGCCAGCCCCTTCGGCTCCCTCGGAAGCCAGTGCATTGCTCTGCGGCACAGCATCGGGCTTCAGCTCTGGCCGGAGGCCCAATCCTCAGGAGGAGCTTGGGGCTGGGACCCAGACGGGCTGGCCAGGCCCAGTGCCCACCTGGCAGCCCCAGTGCCCACCTGGAGTGACGTCACTGGCTCCCCTGCCTGAGGGGAGGCCTCGGGGTGCTCAGTGCAGGGAGGGGTGCACTGTGTGAGCCCCACAGGAGGCCTGAGAGGCCACTGATTAGAATGCAGCGCCAGCGGGGCAGGGGCAGGGGCGGGGGAGGGGCCGCAGCTGGACGCAGCTTCTCCGAGGCCTCAGAACAAGCCCCCCTCACAGCTGGAGAGACAAGAGCGGGGCCGGGGCCGCCATTGTGAGCTGCAAGGAGCCTCCTCTGGCGGAAGCCAGGCCCCAGCTGTCAAGCATTTGAAAT